TCTATGGGAGTCGAGTCTCGAGGTGCACGTCTGAGTTGAATTTTGAGTTGATTTTCTAAATCAAGTCTTGAGTGTCTGAGGTGCGAGTCCGAGTCAGGCCTCGAGTCTTTGGGGTGTGAGTCCAAGTCGAGTCTTGAGTCTCTGAGATGTTAATCTGAGTTGAGTCTTGCACCTCTGTGGTATGATTCAGAGTCAAGTGCCGACCCTCTGTGTTGCGAGTCTGAGTCAAGACTCGAGTCACTGGGGTGATTTTTGAACAGCTGCTTTTGGGACAGTGTTAAAAAGTGCTACGTATTTAAATGTAAGAGGTAAATAAACGAATGAAATGCTGTTGTTTGTGTTTGTGTCTAGTCTCTCCATCAGTGCCATCCTGCGGGCATCAGCAGACACACGTCCCTGAACATTCCGGATTCCGTGTCGGAGGAGGCCAGGTCTCTGCTGGAGCAGGTACACGATCCTCTTCACGCCTACACACAGATACTGGCCGCGCCAGGCGAGTCCGCAGCTTCCAGCCAACGGAAAAACATGGAATGTTCCGTGAGCTTTTGGGATTTTTCAGAAATCCTGTGCTGCTCCCTGTTGTTGGATTTCACACTGATGTTCCCCTCTTTTGCATAGATATGGAGAAACAAAGTTACTGTGACAAACAAAAGCAGCGATACGATCGTTGTGTGTTTGAACAGACTAATAGCAGCGCGTTGTTATCAGAGCTCTGAGTTCAGACCTTACTCTGTTTATCTCAGCGCTGCAGTGTTTCATTAGATAAACTCTTTCTTTCTTTCTTTCTTTCTGTCTTTCTTTCTTACTCTTACTATCTCTTTCAATCTTTTCCTTTCTCTTGCTCCTTCTCTCTCTCACACTTTCTTCCTTTCTTTCTACCTTCTTTCTGCGACTTTTCCTTGCTCTCTCTGCTTTCTTGGTATTTTCTTTCTTTCTTTCTTTCTTTCTTTCTTTGCTCTCTTGCTTTCTTTCTCTTTTCCTTGCTATATTTTCCTTTTTCTCGCTCCCTCTACCTTTTCTGTCTTTCTTTCTTTCTTTCTTTCTTTTCTTTGCTCTCTTGCTTTCTTTCTCTTTTCCTTGCTATATTTTCCTTTTTCTCGCTCCCTCTACCTTTTCTGTCTTTCTTTCTTTCTTTCTTTCTTTTTTCTTTCTTTCTTTCTTTCTTTCTTTCTTACCCTTACTATCTCTTTCAATCTTTTCTCTCTCTCTCATTTGTTCCTTTCTTCCTTCTTTGTTTCACTTTTTCTTGCTCTCTCCTTTCTTGGTCTTTTCTTTCTTTCTTTCTTTTCTTCCTTTCTTGGTCTTTCTTTCTTTCTTTCTTTCTTTCTTTCTTTCTTTCTTTTTGTTCCTTTTCCTTGCTCTTGCTTTCTTTCTCTTTCCTTTGCTATATTTTCATTTTTCTCACTCTCTCTGCCTGTTTTCTCACTTTCTTTCTTTTTCTTCTTTCTTTCTTTCTTTCTTTCTTTCTTTTTTCCCCCCTTTCTTTCTTTTGCTTCTTCCTACTGTCATATCTGCCTACTTCATAATTTTTTTCTGCTGTTCTTTTCGTCTTTTTGTTCTTTTCCTGGCTCTCTTGCTTGCTTTCTCTTTTTCCTTGTTATCCCTTTTTTTCTCTCCATTCTCTCCATGCTCATTTTCTTTCCTTCTCTCCTTTATGTCTTCTTTCTCATTTCCATGCACTTTTTTCTGTCCCTTGCTCTCACTTTCTTTCTCTATCTCTTGCTGTCTGTTTATATCTTGTTTTTTGTTCTCGCTCCGTCTCTCTTTTCTCACATTCTTTCTTTCTCTTGCTCTCTTTCTGTCTTTTCCTTTTTCTACTCCCTCTCTTTCCTCTCACATTCTTTCATTCCCTTTTTGCTTTGACTTTTCCTTGCTTGCTCTCTCTCCTTCTCTCTCTGTCTCTCTCTCTTTCTCTAGTTGTTGCAGTATAACCCGGTGGAGAGGTTGGGGTCAGGAGTATCTGGAGTGGAGGATATAAAATCTCATCCCTTCTTCTCTCGAGTGGACTGGCCTAAATAAAAATACCGTGAAGGTGAAAGGTCACCTGTAGGACTGACTGGACTGCGAGCTGAGTTGAACTGGACGTGTGAGTGTTTGAGTGTCTGTGTGTTTCTGAGGAAGGACCTTGTTTTTCTGATCATCTTCATTTTCAAGACTCGTCACCTGCAGGACGTCTCCACTCAGCCTGAAACCCCCACCCCCTCCACCCCACCCACAAAAAGAAAAGCAGAGCTCCAGACCTGTCAGTGGGGATCTGGAACATTCAGGTAATGAACTTTAAAGCCCAAAGAAAACGCCTAAACACGTAGCAGCGCGACGTACGAATCCCTGATCCTGCAGCGTCTTTCACACTACACACCCTGCCACAGTGTAAAAGCAAGTTCACGTTCTGAATGCATTTCCACATCGTTCCTCGATATCCTGCTGTTTCCAAGAAATTTGAGTTTGAGCATTATCCGCCCCGCCCCCGCCCCCGCCCCCACCCCCACTTGGATACACTCCGCTTTCCAAACGTGTCAGGACACCAAGCTTTTCAAAAATATGTTTCTAAATAAATTAACATTTCAATTTGTAATACTAGTAAAGGACCTTTTTTCTGTATAATCAGATTTTCTCACTTTGTTTAAAGTGAGTTTAATGTACAGGGAGATTCACTCGAAAGAGGCCCTGAATATTCTGTAATAACTCTCACTAGGACGAAGCAATCTGAACGAAACAATGTGCAATGTGCTCCTTAATATATGGAGCTTCGAACAAGCTGGGATGCCCCTGCGTCTGAGCGATGAGGTAGGTAGGTGCCGGACAGCCGCCGCAACGTTTAACCTCCATTTGCAACTTTAGAGTGCATACCCCCGTACCCCTTCATGTGTCTGGCAGAAAACGGTGATCACTTCCAGCATGGCATGTAATGCAATCGATTACACATACATCAAGGTATGTAGCGTATTTTTTTGGTTCAGATTGCTTCGTCCTAACGGGAGTTACAACAGAATATTTGGGGCCTCTTTCGAGTGAATCTCCCTGTAGTATGTAAACATTGTTAAAGTTTCAAAGCATACCATTTACTCCTGAGTCCATAGAGTCCATATGAAAAAGCTAAGATGTACAAACAGCTAATTTTGAATTCATTTTTTGTGATGTCATAAAAAATACATATACATTTACATATACATAACACTTATTCAGGCTACAGCAGTTTAGCTCCGCCCATTTGTCGAAGTTATAAGGAGTGTTACAGCCTGGACATTTTTTTTAATGAGGCACAAAACAGGGCAGCCAATCAGAACCAAGTTCATTTGCACAATGAGGCCCTTGGCCTCTAATAACGCCTCTCCACTTTTGTTCGTACGAAATGCCAGTTTTTCAGGGCATTCTGAAAAGTGTGCAGCAGCTATAATTACTAAAGGATTATACTTTACAATTTAATAGTTTTAAAGGTGTTATTACTAATATTTATACGTGTGATACTGTTTCACCTCTAAATAAACCTGCTTAGCCTTGAAAAGCTGGGTGTCCACAAACCTTCGGTGATGGTGGGGTTTGGGTGTGCTCTTTATCTGGTATAAAGGAGTATTCCACCCAAAAAACTGCTTACAGTGAACTGTAGGGGGCCAGTTAGCATGATCTCATTTCACAACTCAAGTTTTTATCAAAGATTAGCAATGTTAGCATTAAAGCTATAGTTCCCCCTTACTCCAAATGTAGGCAACACATTTGGTGTCTGAAGTTTGCTTCTTTAGTTTTGTGTGCATTATGCCAATTGTGAAGAATATCGCTGCTGTTGGAACAAAACCTCGAATCTCCATTTTTGTCATTTTTCAGTTTTTGGCATAGGTTGAAAATGCCTGTTGCCCTTTACATTGTGTGTAAATTTCATGAGGAACGGACCAAAAGAAACGGCCCAAAATGACTCGGAAAAACGTCTGGTTCCATTGACTTACATTAAAAGTATCGTAGGTTTTTTCCTTCTCCTGTAAAGTTGCCATTTTTGAGAAAGGTTTTGTTCCGACAACCGCGATAAGCTTTACTTGTTACCTACATTAGCCTCATAGCTCCAGTGCAAAACTAAACAAGCAAACTTCGGACACCAAATATGTCTTGGCTGACCGACCTCAATCAGGATGAGGGGGAAACTGTACGTTTTGGTTTTCTTGAAACCATCGCTTAAATTTCACCGCATCACTGAATCATATGGGACGTTTACTGTTAAAGACCAGCATGACCACTCCAAAAAGGCGCAGTTCTAGTGTTGATTCATCTCGTAAGTTGTTTATGAAGCTCTTCGGATTGAGTTGCTTAAGCTGCACATGAGAGAAGACTTCATTACTGCACTGAAAGAATATAAGACTTGCTCCAGGAAAGCGACTTTTTTGTGCAATGTTGACGTTTGTAGTCATTCATTTGGCTCATAGCCAGTTTTAGTTAGATTGTTATTATTATAATATATACATTTTTTTTTTGCACTTGAATGTGGTGCCAAGCTGAGGCCAACTTCTGTGCAATTATGTGAGCTAGATGATGAATATTGAAGACCAATTAACATGCGCCTGGCCTTAACCATTACCGATTTGACACTTATTAGCTCCCAATTCAGAACTGCAGCAGAAAAGAGGTTTCATGCTCTTTTTTAGCTTTGTAGTACTAAAGTGATTTAAATACAACACATAAGGTTTCAATTTTCGGTAACACTTTATTTGAAGGGTGTCTACATAGCACAACATCTTACATAAACGCTTCATAACATGTTCATGAACGTTTAAATCAACAGTTATAGGGCATACATGTTTTACATGATATTAACATGAAGTATTAGGTCATTTAACTGAGATTTTTCAAAATAAAAGATTTTTTTTTATTCTATTTTCAGTAAAACGCCTCATTTCTGGACAGCCAAAAAAAAAATTACCTCGCTTTACCCCTTTGGTCATTAAGTGCTTTGACACTTAGACACACCACCATAGTCAAAGCACTAAATGACCAAAGGAATAAAGTGAGGTCATTTTTATTTTGGCTGTCCAGAAATGAGGCATTTTACTGAAAATAATATACTTTTTCAAAATAAAAAAAGGATTTTATAAAAATAAAATGACATAGTAGACCTTATTAATGTCATATAAAATGTATACCTTATAAATCTTGGTTTAAAATGTTATGAATGTGTTATGTAGACACCTTTCCAGTAAAGTCTTACCAAATTTTCCATATTTACTTCCAAAGAGTGTCAAACCGAAACAAAAGGCCACAGAGACATGCCAACTGTCTGGACATACGACTGTGATGCTCCATGTGCACTCTACTGACCTATCCATGCTCCGCCCACAACTGTGTCTTGCATAGCTGTTGCGAGGTTGGACAAACTTGAAAGAACGTTGGCAAAATTCCCACTCGGTCAAAATGAGAAATTGAGCAGACTCTGTTTAATCACTACATAATGCAGAGCTTGATTTAAAATGATACCCAACTGGACGGTGCTGCTGTTGCTAATTGTTGGTAAAGGAGGCGTGTTGAGAGGGATATTGAAGTAAACAAGAAGGAAAGTACATCTGATCTATTCTGAAACAACGAACCTGCCACAAGTGAACAATACGGAAATTTAGACCTGAAGCTTTGCTCACCGGCAGAGGTGCAAATTTGCTCTGACAGTTGAGGGGAACCAACAAAGAGAGGATATAACGTACATACAGTACTAAGACCTAGTAATGACACTAAACCACTTATTTCCTGACGCTGATACTGAGACCTATAGCATAACATCTTCTGTTGACACAAATAAAAGGTAGTGAAGTTAGTTGTTAGGCTACCTGCTTCGCTATGTGCTGCTGCACACTGACAGAGACTGTTTTTGGCACAGCTCAGTGTGCATGGCGTCTTCACCTTTGCAGTCGCCCTCAGTTTACGCAGTGGCTCTCAGTTTACGTAGTCGACCTCGGTTCACGCAGTCGTCCTCAGTTTACGCAGTCGCACCTGTGCACACCGATATGATATGATTTAGAAATTTGGTCAATCTGTTTGCACTGTGGAAAACAAAAAACGGGCAGAAAGTTATCTTCTTATAGGCATTTGGAAAAGAAGTGGCTACGAGGTGGTAACTTTGTCCATTTACTGATGGTTCTGCTGCTTCAGTGTGTTTTCTTGTCCGGTGGTCGCAGGTAGCGTTGTCCTTCCTCAGCTTTATCCATCATTTTGTGAAAATGCTTTGTTCTTTTTCCTTCACCATCTGCTCATATAGGTACAACACTACAAGTAAATTGCTGCCCTCTTTAGGTTAAGCTGTTTAGTTTGGACATCACTTTGAAAATATAAAAGAAAAATCGACAATAAAAAAACGATCAATAATGTAAGCTATGTACTTTTTTGACGACCATCCCGCTAAACCACAAAAAATCTTTCATGTAATTTCAAAACGTAGGAGAGACACAGCTGATCCGTCATGTTGGTTGTTGCCATGCCAACAGCTGAGACAGCAGTGATTGATGGAGTGAGTTGATGTTGCATACACCATAACACCAGCATGGTTTCTTTCCTGGTGGTCAAAGTCAGAACTGTTCTTTTTTCATATAGGTTCAGCATTACTGTCATTACTGCCCTCCTCAGGTTAAGTGGTTAACTCACTTTAGCTTGGGAGTCACTTTGAAAATGTAAACGAAAAACCAACATCGGAAATATTTGTTGCCGATTGTTTATTGTTGGTAATTGAATTGCATTACAGCTTCTCTTCAGATTTAATAGGTTTTTGCCCAATGTTCTGTAAAGCCTAGCAACAGTTGCGACGAAAGGTCACATGTGGGCGGAGCAAGGAGGAGTCAGCTGGTTTCTGAATATACTCTAGAAATGACCAAGACATGGTTGCCATACATTCTGTAGGCTTATACAGGTCCTTTATACTTTTTACTTCTTAATCGAGGGAGTAATCAAGCAAAGACGACCAGCAATACTTGTTTCACGCGTATGGTTTACGTTATAAGTTATCATTCATTACTACAGTACAATGCAAGTAAAAGAGTCTGTGTATGTACTTATAGTGTGCTGTTTACCGAGCGGTCAGATGGTGTGAATGTGTACACAAAGCCGAGAAGACGAACTGTTGTAACCTAGATAAAATAATACACAATATCAAGGCATAGTGAAAACCAACAGTCCGAGTATGTTTGGAGATGTATGTATGAAGCACTGGTTAATATGCATAATAATATATTCTGTTTACTCAACCTTTATTTGCACAGCAAGCATGTACAGAAGAATTTATTATTGTGTAATTTGACTAACTGACACCAACACCACATGTGATTATGCATTCGCTGTCGGTGGACGCGTGGCCGACCCGTCACGACGAGTTTAGCCAGTAGCAGCTTTGCTTAACGAAGTTGATGCTGACACAGATGTGTGCACAGACACCTGAATTTCTTCCAAATGCTGAACGTAGTTTAATAATTATTAACCATTTTCTTTGTTAATGATTGAGACGTTTAAAGAGTAAAGAAAACAGAAAGAAATGTTGTTTTTTAATTTTTTAAATCCTTTATATGCTAAAAAAAAATCATCATGTCTGAGTAAAACTATCTCAGTTTTATGGGCATTTCACTTTCAGCGGAAGTCAACAGGGTTCTACGTTTGTTACTGTCAGTGCCGTATGAAGAGTCCATAAATCAACACTATCAGTGAGCTTTGAGAGATGAGCTTGTATTTCATTTCCTGTTTTTTTTTCCCCTGCCCTGTGCCCTGTATCCTGATTGTTGGACCTCTCATGTGTCTGGACTACATTTCAATAAACTCCCTGAATAACTAACGCTCCACTTGACTGATGTTGTTATTGTTTTTGACTGATGTTTGTTGTTGTTAGTGTGTGGTGAGATGTTATGGAGGAGTTATTTCGGAGATGATTCTTGTTCATTGGTGTTTCATTTATGCCTGATCTGTTTGTGCACTCGGTGAAGCAATTTTACACATAAAAGGTAAAAAAAAAATACACATTTTTACACACAAAAGGTTAAAAACAACACATTTTTATGCATAAAAGGTAAAAGAAAAACATTTTTATGCACAAAAGGTAAGAAAATACACATTTTTATGCACAAAAGGTAAAAAAATACAATTTTTTACATATAAAAGGTAAGTAAATACACATTTTTACACACAAAAGGTTAAAAACAACACATTTTTATGCATAAAAGGTAAAAGAAAAACATTTTTATGCACAAAAGGTAACAAAATACACACTTTTACACATAGAAGGTAAAAAAAAAATTTAATGCATGAAAGGTTAAAAAATACACATTTTACACAAAATGTAAAAAAAAACACGTTTTTATAAACAAAAGGGAAAAAACACATTTTACACAATGTAAAAAAAAATACACGTTTTTATAAACAAAAGGTGAAAAAATACACATTTTACACATAAAAGGTGCTGCACTGCTACTGCTATTACTGCTACTACTACCTTTCCTGCTGCTATTATTGATATTATTACTGCTATTGCTACCACAGCTACTGCAATTACTACTGTTACTACAGCTGCTGCTGCTTTTACTGCTACTGCTACATCTATTAGTGCTACAGCTATTACTACCATTCCTACTACTGTTACTACTATGGCTATTACTACTCTTACTGCTGTTACTATTACTACTCTTACTGCTACAACTATTGCTACTATCACTACAGCTGCTGCAGCTATAACTGCTACTACTGATGCAGTTACTACTGCTGCTTCTCCTGCTGTTATTACCGCTGCTGCTGCATTTACTGCTATTATCACTATTACTACTGCTTCTACTACTATTGTTACTACCACCGCTGTCACTACTAACACTGCTGCTGCTGTTAGTGGTGCTATTGCCTTACTACTACTGCTGATACTGCGATTGCAATTATAAGTCTTACTGCTGTCACTATTACTACTATTACTGCTACTACTGCTGTAATTACTACTGCTACTGCTATTATCACTACTACTACTGCTGCTTCTATTGTTACTACCACCGTGGTTACTACTAATACTGCTACTGCCACTACTGTTACTGGTGCTATTGCTATTATTACTGCTGCTATTGTTATTACTATTATTATTATTATTATTATTATTATTATTACTGGTACTGCCAGTACAACTGCTACGATTACTACTACTACTGCTGCAACTACTGTTACTACTACTACTACTACTACTGTTACTTTTGGTACTACTACAGCTGCTATCACTGCTATTACTATTGCTACTACTATTTCTATTTCTACTACTGTTACTGCTACTGTTACTGTAATCGCCATACTACTAATGCTATTACAACTATTACAGCTGCTACTACCACTGTTGTTACTACCACTATTGGTCCTACTACTATTGTTACTACTACTGCTTTTACTACTACTGTTACTGCTGCTACTACCACTATTACTGCTGCTGGCACTACTGCTTTTACTTATTATTGCTATTACTACCTCTGATTTTACTTTAATCAAATGTGTTCATCGGTTTCACATTAATGTGTGTTTATGTGATGTTTTTCATTCATGTGAAGCCACTGTACACATTGTTTCAGTGTACTACAGCTATTATTATTATTATTATTATTATTATTATCATTATTACTATTATTATTGTTGAGTTTTTCTTGTTCTGTTTTAGAATTCTGTATTACTTATTGTTTTAAAAATCAGTTTCATACTTTCATACCCATATATACACTGTTATAATATTAATAATACTCTTTTTTGGTTATGCGATCTTTTGTTGTATAGAGTGACGTGTTCAGAGTGTATTTGCTGATTGTATGTGTTTTCCTGTGTCTGTAGTCATTCTAGCTCTGCTGAGTGCGGTCAGGGTCGATGTGTTGTCTTGTATTAGTGTGTGTGTGAGCCAAAGTCAGTGCAACAGCAGCTCTTAAGGAACGTCAGCACTCCTTACACTCAGGGAACCACATACACATGTATACATATTGAAGGGGCAGCAGCGTTGATCTCTGCCTGCAGTGGACACACCTCTGCCACGGATCTGTCCTTCATATGGACCGATTAAACTGCACAGTATACTCACCATGCTCCAGTCCACTCCACAGGCTGAGAGATGCTGTGATGAGGTGCACACCGCTAACAGAACTTCTGTAGCATAATCTGTCAGTCATGGTACAGTGAGCATGTTTTGTTTGTATATTGTTGTGCACATTTATTGTTTATTAAATGCAAGGTTCAGTGAAAAAGTCTGCTGTTGCTAACAATGAATTAAAGTCAATAGCCACCAAATAGCATTGTGCACAAGGCCACGCTAATTGGTGGCTGCTGGCTTCCATTCATTGTTGGCATTATTAGTAGAGCTACCGCTTTAATTGTTAGTGCATTATTGACCTTTGCAGAACTGTTATCTTTGAAAACTGAAATATGCAAATGAGCTTTTATAAATTAAACGCTATCATTATGTGTCTCATTGTAAGTATTCTGAACTGTCGCAGTTCCAGGTCCATTTTGGGTGTTTTGATGAACCAGAGGTTTCCAAAATATCTAACAGTGGTATATATTTTTGATCAAAATGATGTGATCTTGTGATCTGGCCATTCACAGAATTCCCGATTGTAGCTCTCTTGTTCAAATAAAGCTTTAAAATGGCTTTTAAAGCGATACCTTCAGCAGACTACACTGGACAGTTCTGCCGTCATTCGTCTACTGTCAACATGAAAGCCCACTGTGTCCCGAACTAAAACTTTTGGAGA